CCTCCCAGGAGTAGCCTCCCTCGTGCCAAAACTCGTCCATTACACCCTACATGATCTACTTCCCTCTCCACGCATTTTGCAACCTCCTTCACCAAAAAACGAACAAATCGCAAACCTCGAGCTCTTCTTATCCTCCAAAAAAGAATCGCGAATAAATGCGAGAACTTTAAGACGAAGAAATTTAGCCGGGAGGGTACGTGTTGCCTATTTCCGGGTATCTCGGGAAAGGTCCCCGAGCTGGATCCGGAACGTTCGAAAGGAGGAATACGTGAAAACGAAAGGCTCGATTCGGGCCGGGTTATTATCGCGGTCGCGGGACTGAGCGGTCACCACGGGTTTCCTTAAGTCGTCCGCCAAGTGCGCGCCTGATTGGACGGACACGAAGGATGTCGTGCCACCAGGATACGCGCGATAAACCTCAGGCGATAAAGTTCACTATGCATCGCAGTCCAGGGATTTCTGAAATTCCAGTTTGCGGAAGCCGGAGGATTTCGTCGAGCTTTCCTTGCACGGGTGTGGACAGTCTAAACCTTGGACATTGCGCCTCGGGCCGTTGATTCTTCGAGAAGAATCTTACTACTGGCCGCTTAACCCTTTGAAACTTGAGCAATTTTTAGTTTACCTTTTATCGCGAAAATTGAAGATGGTATTGTGAGATGTTAAATGTTTTTTTAATTATTTGGATAGAGAAGATTGGAAGATTTTCATGTTTTTTTGTTTGGTTCGAAGTTTAAGAGTGGGTTTACAAAGATTGAGCAGGAAAGTGTGCGATTTGGTCGACGAGGGAAATAAGTACCAAGACGCAACAACAGTCGTGGCTGTCTGGAAGGACGGTGCCGACGGATTTACGAGTTTAATTAAGTTCTGCGGTCGCGTTCGTCATTTCGGCGAGCATCGAAGGCTCGTTTGCGACCAAGTTTCCCTTAACCGTTCCTACCGTAACGTTCAAACTAAAGAAACCTTGCGTTAGCATACGAATCTCTTCCGGAGTTGAACGAAACTGTGACGTATTCGTTCTTTGAAAAATTCGTTTCCGATAGGAATTGCGTGGGAATGACAGTTTAAAGAAGATTGACTTTCGAATTTAAAATCTTTGAAAATCAGAGAGAAAGAGAGAGAGATTTCCAGAGAACTTTGAAAATCAGAGAGAGAGAGATATTTCCAGAAAGTCCAGAGAACTTTGAAAATCAGAGAGAGAAAGAGAGATGCGTCCAGAAAATCCGGAGAACTTTGAAAATCAAAGAGAGACTTCGATTTCTCTCGGTCCAACAATACCTCGAAGGTGTTAATTACACACTCTGACGAGGAATCGCGGATCCTTTTGGTATTCCCGCGGCAAGTTTAAGCGCGTGCGTTAATATCCTGCTGATAGAGCATGATAGGGGTCGGTAAGTCGAGGGAGAGACTCGCCTCGAAAGGAGTGTGTGTGACACTTTCCTAATTGCCTGGCAACTCCTCTCCCTTGCACCCTTTAAGAAAGGTAACCCTTATCCTCCTTTTCCCCCTCCCTCAAACTAGACCTCAGACGTTTCGAAGGCGGCCGACGCCGCCTGCTAAGCCGCGAAGAAATTCAATCAACCACACACGTGACACCGTACAGATCGAAAATAAGTCTCCGTATACTGTAGAAGAGAATAGAGGCTTTGCAGGACTTTCCAGATGAAATTCCACGCGCCAACGACGAATCCGGCCGCAGGCTGACATTAAACGACAAAGACCGTGTTTGTCCCGTGGAAGGGGTGCCGTTTCACTAAAATTCCCAACAGACCAGGAATAATCATCTCTAGGCCTTCCATTAAGATCCGTCGGACAAAATCCAGGGAACACGACACAATCGCAGGTAGGTGGAGGAAACAGCCAGATGAAGAAGGCACGTGGGAATCGCGAATTCTCTCCCTTTTCTTCTTTCTTCGGCCAACTTGTCTCGGTAAACAGGTAAAGAGATGAACGACGACTACTTCGTTTCTACGCTTTTTCTTGCATCTTCACGGTTCAAATAGCAGTATAATTTTAATTAAAAAAAAGGTGATCATCTGTCGAGACAGAAGTGAAGCCCAGAAAACTTGGTGCGAGAGAAGAGAAACGAACGAAGGGTTTTTAAAAAATTGAAAACGTTCGTCTAATGATGTGAAAGGGTTAAATTTCGCAGGAGCAAGGTTCCCGTATTTATTTTCGTGGATCGTGAACGCAGAAAGCGGAGAAGAGCGTGCACGGTAGAAGACGAGGTAACAGCGACCTCGGGCAGAAGGTCTCCAGGTGAAGAAAAAAGGGAATCGAGCATTATTCCTGTCTCTTATAATATAACCGTGTCCGTTTCTCGACTTCTTCCCCTGGAGTCTCATCTCGAGTCGTGATCGGGGTAATGAGGCTCCGCGAGTGGCAGTAGCGAGTGAGTACACGAAGAGGAGCTGCCTACTGCAGAGATTGAAGAAGGAAACCGACCAGCTTCGCTCTTCGCGTTGATCGAAACGAGAGAAAAGAGAAAATGGAAGAGGACAGGAGGGACACAGAGTCGCTGGTAGGGGTAAGGACGCTGATTATGGGGTGTCAAACAATCATGCTGATTGTATATTCTCCGCTGACTCCCTTCTGTCTGCTCGGACGTCTACGTCTGAAACAGTCTTGTTTCCTTCCACACTTGGTCCTCGTAAAACTTGGACAATTCGGTGCTGTGTCACGCAGTGAACTTGAAGAATTGCGACAAATGATACCAGTGGAAAATTCATTCGCAATTTGCAACATAATTTCGGATAATAGACTTCTTTAAGACACAGCAAGTGTTTCACAACGAAAGGGTTAACCGTCGAAAGTTTGCTACGTCGGTTGGACTCGCGGGGTAAACGTATCCTCTGATCTGTGATCGTTGATCGTCATCATGTAGGTGAGATTTAGAGAGCAATCATCCAGAGAGGAGAGACGAAACGTCGAGGATAAAGAAGAAGAAGAAGAAGAAGCAGAAGATTACGAAAAAGATGACGACGAAGAGGGAGGATAGGTTCGATTCAACAACGTCTGGCATCGCAAGCGAACCGAGCCCGAGACAAAAGAAGGAGTATAGGAACGGCAAAAACAACATGGATCCAGCACTCGATCGCTTCTCGATCGATCGATCGATCCCTGGTATTACGCAGACGTGCACGTGAGTGGTACGTGAGTGCACGGTTCTGTCTTGTAGGTTGTACCGACTTCGGAAAGGGGATCTGAATCGGTGGCCTGACTCGAATACACCACCGAGGAACACTGAGAACTGTATACTGGGCACAGGAGGGGGGAAGAAAGAGTGATGATGAGAAGAAGAAGAAGGAGGAGGAAGAAAATTGCATCCACCGACGCTTCTCTTGCTCATTTCGCACTCTATGCTCATTCGTACGTGTGCCCAGCCTCGGACACTGCTCATTTGGCGCGAAGTGGAAACAAGAGGAAGAAGAAGGAGAAGAGATGAATGGGCGAATCACAGATAAAAGCATTTCCATTTCCATTCATGTGATAGGTGTGAAAATGGCCGCATTACCGTGAGATTAACTTTCAGAATTCTCTCGTTGTTCTTGTTACTCTAAATTGCATCCACCGACGCTTCTCTTGCTCATTTCGCACTCTATGCTCATTCGTACGTGTGCCCGGCCTCGGACACTGCTCATTTGGCGCGAAGTGGAAACAAGAGGAAGAAGAAGGAGAAGAGATGAATGGGCGAATCGCAGATAAAAGCATTTCCATTTCCATTCATGTGATAGGTGTGAAAATGGCCGCATTACCGTGAGATTAACTTTCAGAATTTTCTCGTTGTTCTTGTTACTCTAACAACGTCAAATTTTGATTAACGATTGCGACCACCATTGATGCACCGTGAATCGTCGATAAGCGACTGTATCTGTCGCTCTCGGTAGCGAAAGGGTTAAAGAGAAGACACACGGGGTCTTGCAATTAGCTCAAAGAAGGTGAGGTGGAAACTTGGCTCTTGTGCACGAGGTAATTACAACGGTGGGCGATTTAGGAAGGTGACACGGGTGAGGCAAAGTTGGCCCAGAAGGTAGCACGGGGCCCTGATCGACGGAGAAGGTGGCGGAGGTCGAGACCAGCGGCAGCAACAGCAGCAGCCAAGAGGAGGAGATTAGGGCAAAGAGAAACCGCAACGTAGCTTCAAAGAGGTCTTGCCAGCCAGGGGCGCGTCTACTTAACTTTGATCAGCTCGGGACCGCTGATGCGGGACGAGCCACGTAGAAATAAAGTGACCGTCGAGTTTCCCGCCTTTTTGCATCTGGAATTATCGACTCCGGGGTAGCCACCGAACAGCCTCCAAATATCTCGAGAAATTGACACACAATACTGCGGAACATTTCGATTTTGAACGTAGATACGTCTGCGATTTTCTTCGTGGAAGACGATCGAGTTGCAAGTGAATCTTGGTTACGAGCGAGGACAGGACACTTTTGCCTCGTGCTAGAGAGATCCAACGGTGAATCGTGGCGGGGAGGATCCAGCCAGAGAGAGAAGAGATGGAAACGGCAGGTTGAATGTCGTTATTACGTTGAATTAGAGGGTGCAGAGCCGGAACGAGGTATGAAACTATTACCTCGCGAAACGGCAGACCTCCCTTCCTCTCCCTCGATCCCTCGCCATCGGTTCTCCTCCTCTTGGTAGAGGGGGTGGGTGGGGTCTGTGCGTAGTTTCGAGTCGTTCCACGAGCCACGAGGATGCTGGTCGTGAGCGAAGGATGATGATGCCCGAGAGAAAGAAGCTAACAGACCGGAAGACACGACTTCTGTCTCTTTCGATTCGTGTTTAAAAAAATTCCAACTAAAATACAAGTGAGTCACTAACCCTCGAATTTCAAGATTGTAAAATTCGTCAGAAGTTCCAATTTACAGAAGAGAGTGCGATCCTTGAATTAGAAGCAGGTGATTGCCTTCGAAGCTTGTGAATTCGTGATACTTTCGGTGTTGAACTCGGTAAACGGAGACACGAGAAGAGATAAAAGTTGGAACGAAAGGAAGAGGACTCACCACCGTGTTGAGGACTATGCTTGTAGCAATCCTGATGAGCCGAGGAGCTGCCGGTGGCCCCGAGGTGTGTACTGGAAGCGGGCGATGCGGTCGGGTCGGTGTTGTTGGGGTTGGTGCAGGCACCACTAACCGAATTCGCGGTGACGTTGTTGCCGATGTGATGCTTATTCCTCCTGTACGGTTCTGGCTCCCGAAGGTAGGGGGTGAACGGGCTTGGTGCGTCCGGGAAGGTCCCGCGTGTCAATCCAGGGACTCTGGGTAACGTGGGAACCCGCGCCAATCCTGAAATGTGCGTCTGCCCTGAAAAATACCCAAAAATTTCTTCCTCTTATTTAACGATTTGATTCCATTTCGAGTGGCTTGTATTGTATTTTCAACGAAATTCTACGAATAAGATCTATCGTCGACGTCTAAACGACCGGTGTCCAGGGGAAGAGCGACAACGTAACGGAAGATGTTTGTGTAATTAGCCTAATACAGTGGGATAATTAAGAAACTCAGCCGTAGCGCGTCTCGATCGACTTCAATAGCATTCCTGGCACATACCAGCCCCCTTTCCCCAGCGATTTGATAGAACCCCTCCTCTCTGTCTCTCTCTCTCTCTCTCAGGAAGCAAGTATCGCGGTAGGGCTGCATAGTAGACACACGGCGATTCTCTATTGTGGCGGATTGCAATATGCACGCGGTGTGCGTATCATTGTTGTACGCCGATGCACATTATGCGCCACGTGCATAGTGCGCCTCGATTGCTTACGTAATCACTCGACAGGATATTTAGTGGGTAAAATCGCTCGACTGCTACGTAACCTCCGCTTTGTTTCGTTCCGCGATACGTATCGATCACTTTCAGAGAGCTACCTAGCATTCAACCCTTTCGTTACACTTTCCTTTTATGCGTACGGGATCGCTTATGGAAAAGTGGTGACTCGACTAATCGAGAGAAGTGGAACACACACACACACACCATTTGTCCTTTTTGTTTTTTCTTTCTCTCTTTGGAACGGGGCCCGGTGGACCTGGCCTGGGCTGAGGAAGCCAAGAATGGGAGCTGAGACGCAAATTGTTATTCCTTCAACTGCAGAATGAAAGAAGAGAAGAGGTTGAAGAAGGACGGAGAATGGAGGGAGGAATAAGTGGGAGAAAGAGAGAGACTCGAGCCACGAGGGCGAACGACAAATAAAGTTCGACCGCAAACTGCACGAAATTGTCGGCGAGCCCAGATGGTCAGCTCCGGTGCGCCAACCGATGCCTACGAGATTATTCCTCGCTACCGACTACCACGATATCGCCTCGCCAGCAGAAACAAGGGAGCCTCTTCTCCTCTGTTTCGCCTCCACGACCGGATCCCACGACTTCTCACGTACCGGACGCTCGTAATGCCCCAAACGTACCGGCCGACACTCTTTTTGGACCGTTCTCTCTCGCTCGGTGTTTCCATTCAAGAGGAGCAAAGTAGAATGGGATGGTAGCTTGCTCGAGGATAATTCAGCATCGATCGGAGAGTTCAGCGCTGGAGAACGAGGCAACGCGTTTCGTTGAAGTCTTCAGGATCTCAAGACTTTCTTCGTGTCTTTCTAAATTAGATGCTTGTAATTAATCTGACCGTGACAATGTTTCACTCGTTAAAGAACTTTTCGTTTATTTATTTGTAAGGCGAGATGTGCGTTCAATTAGGTGTTCGTGGGAGATCTGAAGACTTTCTTGGTGTCTTTCCAAAACTGTTTTTTTGTAATTAATCTAACGTGACATTTACGTCTAACGTCCGTGTGTTCGTCTGAAATTTTCCGGCACACCTGAACAACGGTTTCGTTTAACTGGTAAACGATACAAGGGGAGATCGTTGAAGTTTGAGGTCTGTGTAGTATAGTACGAGTTCAGGATGTTAGAAAAGGCACCTGCTATCCGAATCTCGAAGCGGAAAGGCGATTAATTGCAATAAACAAGAACGATCGTGATATAACACCTTCACCGATTGCCCCTTTGCCCGTTCGTCGAGCATGGTGAAGCAGAGAGAGAGCAATAATTCCAATCTCCGCAGTACGAGTGGTGGGCTTATCTAATCAAAGTGTGGCTGCCCGGAGGACGGAAATAGCGAGGCTTTTCCTCCTCTCTAATAACGGGCCCCTCCCTCCACTCGTCTTACGTCCTCCTTGAGGCAAGGGTCTGCCAGCATTTCGAGAAATTTTGCTCAAAACTCGCCTCTCCGTAAAACTCTCCAACCTCTCTACCGAACAATCTGCTTTTAATTAAAAAACCAAAGAAACGAGAAGAAACGAACATTTTTTATTCAAACTCCACGTTTGGGGGGAAAAGAATCGAGATTCGTGACTGGAAATAATTCTCGAGGCCTGCGATTTCTCGCTGTCCTATCAAGAGAGGAAGGAGGTGTCTCTCTCGTCAATCTGCTCCGAGCTATTCTTCTTCAATCAGAATTCTCCCGATTTTTTTCTCTTCTTCTTCTCCCGCGCCTTTCTAACGGATCGTCGATTCGTAGCGAGATATTACAAAGTGGGAAAATCATCGATCCAAAACTCTCTCGTCGAGCATTCCGCTCTAAAGATTCTCCGCTTCTCGATCGTAATATCGTCGGATTGGATGGTTGAATGGACGGCTACTGAAGTAATATCGTTCGATAAAGCGCGATTTCTCTCGATTCACCAGGATGAACTTGCTTCCGATTCGCTTGAAAATCCACGGTCTCCCGTGGATTCAAAAGCTTTCCGTTCAATTTTAGCCACTCCGTGTCAGGAGAGAGAGAGAGAGAGAGAGAGAGAGTAATATCGCTGGAAACAAATGAACAATCGTGCTCCTCTGTTTGTCGATTGTATGCCCCTGGTCCGCGCGAATTAAGGCTGATGTTCCGTCATATAGGCAATTTCGGAACACTTAGAATGAAATTTCACGTATACCTAGGGATTTCGAGGCTTTTTTTTCTATGGGACGCGTCGCGTTTTCCCCGTCGAATCTACATTCCAAACGCGGAACAATTACTGGCCAAGCAAATTCAATTTCAACCTTTGACTGACAGCGGCCATCCATCGATATTGTTTTGTCGGGGAACGTTTCGATGATTTTCGGCCACGGTCACGTCAGCCACTTCGTTTCGACCGGTGGTCCCCCTTTCCCTCCCTTCGTTTTCATTTTCACCAAAGACCAAAGAGTAAACTGAGCAATCCTTAACATTACCTCGCTTGAAATACCAAATTTCTCTATTCCACCTTCTGTAAAACAATTACACTTTCACTACGTCTATACTACAGTAGTGCACACATAAGCGTCCGCAGTCGGGATAACCGTCCGCAATTTCAAAGAATTGGTGGGAATAGCGACGGACGCTTATTCTCTAAACTCTTCAGTATTTACTAAAAAAATGTCTACCTAGGAAAACTTCACCGTGATAACAATAATACCCCCAATTTCACACTGCTCTCCTATCTAAAAATCGTCGAAAACTCCTAAATTTCAAGCACACTCTTTACAAACCTTCCGAAACTTCCTTTGAAGGAGTGAGAACGGTTCCGGTGATTCCGTGGCAGCATTGTAAGTCCGTTAATCCGGTTACGTGTAGCTCGATGCCACGGTGGCCGCGTTCGCCAGTATTTACACGCGCTGACGGCCCGGCGAATTACAGAAATTGCACGATTACCCGGTGGCTCGGCCCCGAAACAGCCGGTCACCTCGATACAGGAGGGAAAAATGGGGCGGCGGGGTGATTTTCGATAACAAAAAGCTCACGATTATCCACGCAATAATGATAGCCGGCAGGTGTCTGCAGAGTGGCGCGCTTCGTTGCGAGGACAATGAGGCGCGCCGGTTGTTTTGCCCGACGGCGGCGGCGGCCGTACGACTGGTCGTTACACAGATTGTCCCTGGTGCGTGCCAGGGACCAGGAGGAGACACGCCAACCAGCCGAAACTCGTGTATGCAATATGTCATGCTGCCTGTCCAACCTTTCTTTTCAGACACCGTCGAATTGGAGCGGCGATTCCCGTCTGGAACCCTCTTCACGCCCCATTATTCAATATTCCCCGAAACGTCGAAGAATCTCGAGTTTCGATAGGTTCGAGGACCTGATCACTTCGGACCTACTGTTTTTGGACAGTTTGGAAATTAGCGGTGTTGTTTTTTAAGATGATTTCAGTGATTAGGAGAGTCCAGAGTTTCATTGGAATCGAAGAGTCTTAATTTTTCGGTTGTAGGAGACGAAGGGTTTGGTTGTAATTGCTGAAGACGACTCGAGTGGATAAACTGCTGCTTCGGTCAAATTAGGAGCACTTGTGTCTGTCGTTTTTTTAATATTTTTCAGAGATTTTCATGATTTTGTTCCAGCGGAAAGAGGAAAAAAAGCAGCAATTTTCCGGTTTTGATTTCCCGTAACAAAACACGCATGATGAACTGTCAGGCACTCCGGGTAAACGTGTAAATAGTTGCTCGATTCTATTTTACCTTCGCGCCCTGTTGAAACTTTAATTCGATCGTTAAACGCGCGGCTCCCGGCGACCGCTGGAAAAAATCGACGAATATTATAGATTTTTGCTCGCTGCCAAGCGACACAGAGTGCATCGATCGACGAGGGGCCAGGCCGAACGATAAAAACGTCAGCAAAATCAATCACGCTAGACCATTTCGAAAAAAACAACGAGCGGAGAAAAAAAGAAAAATCTGCGAGAGCAGCGGCCACGCATCGCCCTGCGCCTATCAATACTTTATACAACAAATGCGAAACGTCCGCAAAAAGCTGCCGTATTCGCGGTCGACTCCGCAGTGGCTATTAATCTGATATCGAAATAACAGGCATTTTTTTAACCTAGGACGAAGCCAGAAATAGCTGGTCGCTCGCTTAAGCTCCGACATAGTCCCAAATTTTTACAGTTTACTCTGCATTTCCAACTGCATATCATTGGACGAACGTTTACGGAGATAAACGCACATTTTGCGGAAACGTTACGTGAAACCAACAACGAATAATAAAAGAAAGAATTATTCTAATTGTTTTCTTCATCAACAAATTTCCTTTTCTCCACTGTGTCGAATTTTGCAAGTCAGCGTTCGAGGTCTAACGTCTGAAAAAAGAGGTTTCCAGGCTTCTCTTCTCTCGAATTCCGAGTCCAGGAATGATAGGAGTTATTTGTATATGAGGCAGTGACGCGAGGCCAGTTATTAAGCATGGTCAAGCATCGATAATTAACGGATATTTTTCGAGGTTTTCATAGTATATTACGGTAAGTGGATTACTTTTCGCGCGCTAGCTAGTGTGTGCTGGTAAAAGCATTGTCCTATGTGCAGCACTGGTCCGAGGGGGTGAATAGCTAACCCAAAACACGCATACAAGCGGTACGCACGTCGACCACTGCATCATCGCGCACCATCTGCTCGGTAATGACTCCCCATTACCGCGTATAGGGACTTTCGTTGAATTATCGGTACATTTTCAGGGAATCCACAGCTAGTAGCCTAGCAGCCGGTGGTAGCCGCCGCGGATAGATCTCTCGCGATCCAACAGAGAGAAACCGAGGGTGAGGCGAAAGTGTTTGATCTACTCACTCGTTTTCGAGCGTGGTTCCCTCGGCCCGTCCACGGTCACCTTAATGGCCCTCGTGTACGTCGCCACCTGCGGGGGCGTCGTCGACACAGTGATGGTGATGCTGAAGCTCTTTCCTGCAATTCACACATTTTTTTTCCCCCGTCATTCACCGCTTATATTCACCGCTGGTCTCGTTCTTAAATCTCGCTAATACGCAAAAACTGTGGCCAACTCTCCGTACAAATATTCTCCTCGAATTGTAAGGCAAGTGAAAATTTCTTCGATTCCTTAGGAAATAAGCAATCTATTACTGTGGTCACCGTAGACACACACACACACAAACAGACGAGTGGAATCTTGATAAAAAATATACTTTACGATTTCACGCGGCAATTACGGAGTCGACGTCCATTAGAGGATCGTAGAGACCGCGAGTCTCTTAGAACCGCGCAGACTCTAACAGGATGGGGGACGGGATGCGAACGTTCGAGGGTGGAGCACCGGTGTGCATATATCACCGAGGAAGGTCTCGAGGTTGAAGCTCCGGTATATTAATTCCCTCTCCATAAATGTCCGTCGCGGAGATTGACTACACTTTCTTAAACGGCCCGTCGCTAATATGCATTCGGTAATTCGCCGCTGCCTGCTTTCGAACCAGCCCCTTATCTTTCCTCGACCGTCTCCGGTCAACCAGGATTACGGGGATCTATACAACGTTCGCCTCTTCCCCGGACAACTTTGTGTCGGCACCATTTTCATATTTCGACCTCCACTTAAGAATAGATTTCGGTGTTCGTAGAAAGGAGGCGTTCGATCCTCGCAACCTGAAGAAACGTCAGATTCGACGACGACGATCGGAATCGAAAGGTGGGTGTCAGGAGAAATATGAGGAAAGATCGGTTCGTTTGCGTTAAAGAGAGGATATCTAACGTGTCGCGGACATATAGTCGTTTCTGTTGGCGTAAACGTCAACGATTTGTAATTGTCTCCCCTTGGTGCACCCTGGTTCACCTCGCTGTGTCTGTCAACATGATAACCGGCATCAAACACCCCCAACCCCGCCGCCCCCGGGAACTGCAACTGACTGCAGAGAGGCACGGGCGTTATATCCTAGTTATAGCGTGCCCTCTCTCTCTCCCCCCTCGCCTGTGCAACCGCCGCTCGTCCTCTCCATCGGTGTACCACCTCCACCCCTCCTCCTCTTTCAACCCTCTGCCGCCCCCCGCCCCTTCAGCGGCTGTCACTCTCGCGCCCGTCATTGTATCCTTGTTATCGTCATCGTTCCGGTCCAGCGCAAAGTGGCTCGTTTCAGAATACCAAAAATCGCGCGTGTCGCGGTTGCTCTTTCTGGCTTTCGCTTTAAAATCGATTAGCCGCATCGATCGTCTGTCTTTTCGCCCTTACCGCGGCCACGGATGACGCGGGTTACGTTGATGGACCCGTAGAGAGCGCAATTTTTAGCGGTTCCGAATGCGAAATCCTCTTTGTGTCCAACGAGAGACGACGCGTTTCCGCGTAATGTTCGTCAGACTTGGAGAGAAGCACCGTTCGATCTCAAGGATCCAGGTCTGGAGTACGGAACAATTTCGGTGTATCATTTCGCGAGCATTCGGTTTGGCAATTTTCACCGGCGCAAAAAGTTCTCCAAGTTCGCACCGGCGATCCTTCGATCCTCGCGGAGCGATCGGGACGTAGAAAGGACGCGAGAAGGTAAAAGCGCGAAAAGAGCGAGAAGGGGAGGACGGTATTTCGTAAGCGATCGCTGGGAAGGGGTTCACTCGCGCGCGACACCCGAGTGCCCCAGCCCCTCTCCACCCCCTTGCGACCGAGTCCATCGCATTTGGGGCTAATAATGCCGCACGGCCGATTCCCCCCTCCGATGGCCGGACCTGCGGTTAATACTCGATGATGGGAACGGTCATCTGCAGAGACAGGACACCCAGGCTGTGCATTCGCGAACGACGGGACGGACAGACCGACAGACAAAACCGGGCCACGCGTATGTGCCACCTATATATGTATATGTATATATACATATATATACATATAGTATAACGTATGCAACATCGCCGGTTATCCGCCGCGACTCCAGCTATCGTTTCGGTGTGTCGGTGCGTTTGCAACGGTGCCGAGGATGAGATGAACGCCATCCCAAACCGCCCACACAACCGTCCCGAAACCACTCGAAACCGTCCGTTAATACTCGTGGCACCAGGTTCCAGGAGGGAGGAAGAGGAGGAGGAAGCAGGGGAGACGGGAACGGGTCCAACGTAGGGCTAACCCTCTCTTCTCTTCGTTCCCACTGGTGTCTCTTTCCATCGGCTCGTCTCTCTTCGAGGTGGGAGCCAGAAGCTGGGATGGAAAACGCGGTGTGGTTTGAGTTGGGAAGTAGGTGGGGGATGGACGAAGGTCCCGAGTCTCGCAACAGGATGTCTCTGCAATTGTCAAATAATTACTATCGGTGGTAATTTCAGCCGTGTCGATATAGACTGCGGTATATTACTAATTATAGGCACGGGCTGCCTTCGGACTCGACGAATGATGGAACGCCCGCTCCACCCTGCAGCCCCGCTCTCTCTTCCCTTTGATCCGGCGCTACCACCTATCTCTCCTCTCTCCCTTCTCTACGTTTACGAGCAGACAGGAACCAAGCCCTTCAAGGAAGGTGATAATTGCGACGATCTTCCTCCCTCGTAACTCCCTCTCGCCCTCGTCAACTTTAATTCCCTCGCATTCCATCGGGTTATTCCGGTATTCGATGAATCATTCACCTTATCAACTTTTCATTTCGGCCGAACATTTCACGCTGTGGGTTTCTTCGTAATCTTCGATTTAAGGTTTCCCGGAGGAATTATTTACCGAGAACCTAGCCTCTCCTCTTCGCGCGATCTTTCACGAGGAGGTTTCACTTTGCGCCAATTGCCCGGTGAAATTTCTTGGACGAGTCGAGGCGATATCGGGGGAGGGAGAGGCGCGACGCGGCCAGGATTCAATCAAATTAATAAGTCGCGGATGCAAAACCTCGAATGATAGGAGGGTAGGCAGCTCGGTCGCGGCCGCGCACACCCGAGGGGAGGGAGGGGCGGTTTGGTCAATCGTCGAAATTGAGTATTACGGATTATCGAGGAGAGATAGCGGGAAAAAATGCCAAAAAACCGGACAAAGGGATCGAAGGATTTCGGGCGAGGGATGCGCGATCTCTTTCGCTAATTGATTCCGTAGAACGGTCGGTGTAGCGTGTTAGGAGACGACGGTTGGTTTGCTCCTGGCCTGACCCTGCACTTCATCATGAAATCGAATGAAACATAGATGATGCTACGGACGGACGTGTGCACAGACACAGGGAGCGAACGTGGAAGCTTGTCCGGCTCGTTAATTCATAAATGCATCCGTGGGGTGCAGAACGCATTTGTAGAACCGGACGACCAGATTCTACCTGCTGACCTGTGGATAATCGCCGATTGATCGGCCTCTGTCCCTGAAAACCACGACTTAATCGGCGTTAAAAACGGATTATTTAAAAAGCTGCCGGCTAGCGCGATTTAACCAATTCGTTTGGAAATCATTTATTAAACGGCGCCAGGTACGCCATACACGTGTGTAACTTTGTTCGCGGCTGGGAAACGATGATTTAATTTCACAGATGAAGCTCGATCCGTGCCTTTTTCGAGGCGGCTTAACAATTGCGGTTCCACGGAGGGGTGAAACAATCGAGTAATCGCTAAGTGCTGCAGCTCTGATTAATCTTCAAAAAATAGATTAACCGATGAAAAGACAAATTTCCACGGTCTTCCTAGCATTCTGTCGTCTTTCACGTTCTCACGAATTACCTTTACTTTTCATCAAATTTTAATTATCAATCTTGTCTAATTTTCAGTATATTAAATAATTCATACTTTTTAAGCCTCAACTTTGAACGCTGATTACACAAAGGAAGCAACATTTTATCGCGTCTCTTGTTAATAGAGCTTCCTTTTTTACACACATCTTTTAACATATTTATCTATTTTTGTTCATCAACGTTACACGTGTCTTACGTGTTACACCGCCGATAAAAAATAGTCGACAAATTGCGGTGTTCTTTTTGTTGAACACGAGGATTGATCGGACCCGCTTGATTTTCGGGACTTAGCCTCTTTCTCCCTGGCCGACGGACGATGATTTCTGATTAACGGCCAGTTGTTTCGGATGCTAGGTCGGGGCTACCGGACGGACATCGAGTAATGACTCTGGGGGCGGCGGGAGCGAGGGAACTCGCGGATGCAGAGGGTTGAAAAGCGAGAGGCGGGCCGTGCGCGGGGGGTTGAGGCCAGTTGATGACGATGATGATTACAATAACCGTGCTTTTAGAGGGTTCGAAATCACGGTACATGCCTCTCCCGTGCAGATAATTTACTGGCTGCTTTTTCACCGACTTACAAAGCAAACTACCGCTGACAATGACACTCGAAACCTCAAAACTAACTCTTCCTATATTGGCCACGCTTAACAAGCTCTTTCGAGCTTTGATCTTTCGACCAAAAGTTGACCACAGTATTTTGCAAACGCGGCAACACCAGAGGAACTTATATTCTGAGGTATAACTAAAATTCTCTGCTTCATTTTTATACACGGCGCTTAAATCTTGGTAGTCCAATTGGAAATAGGTTTTTCATATTCCTCGTGTAAAAGTAAGTGAAAAATTTGCTCGTATATGACTCCTTTTCAGAGAAAATCGGATTTAAACATTCTTCCACTCTTTTTTATTTGCGTTTCAAAACGGTGATCCATGTGAAGAAAGTTTCTTCCACATTTTTTACTTAATTTTGCACGAGGAATTATCTTCTTTCCGGTTGCACCACGATGAAGGAAACACCCTGTATTATTGATGTATATATGTTTATCAGATGGTACAAAGTATAGGAGGAATTAATTAACGGTTTAGACACTCACCCCTGCCGCTTCTTCCGACGAACCTGAGGTCGTTGAACTTGGCGACTTGGTTCTTCATCAAGGCGGTGGAATTCCTCAGCTCTGCGCAACAGTTTTCGTCGTTACCCGCTCGCACTGTCACCACAGTTCCATCGCCAACTTCGCCCAAGGCGATAACTTTGAATGCCACCGGAAGCGTCTTGTTGGATCGCCAGTGAGTCGGCAGTTGGCTGCAGAGAAAGTACGGTGATCCTGTAAATAATACAGCAAGAATAAATATATTTGCTTCAGGAGTAGAATTTTTCCTAACTGTTTCATACTTTACGGATATTACATTTGGATTATTTAGAATCCAAAATGTATCGATCTTTCGTAACATTTATAGGTTAACTACACGTCTTTTGTTATACAATATTTATTGAAAAAAGGAAGCTATGCATCTGAGTACAGTGACAGAAAGATAACTTATTCTTAATCAAACATTATTTGACACGAATACGTTTCTATGATCCTATAAAAATGCGAGGAACAGTTCCTGCCACTCCCCGATATCATTGTCTTATAAAAGCTACACGAAAACTAAACAAAAACTGCGAACATACCTAATAATGTTAGTATTTCAGTCGCATTCATCGTTCGACGATTGCACATAATGATTTCTACACAAAAAATTAATCGCACACAAAACTAGTGTTTAAAATAACGACACAAAAACTAACGAAACTAAAACAGTTTCGCAACCGAATCCTCTGTGACACTGACTACGTATCTTTCGCGCGAAATCTAAAACGTGCCAAATGCTCCAACCAATCAGAGCACGTCGTTCGAGTGGCCATGTTATCCCCTTGAGTCAAATGTGTTCCACAGACTCTAGTCAAGATATAACAAAATTGCATTTAATTTTAACGTTATTGTTAGTCGTAATTTACGAGAAAAAATATTTCCAAAAATAAATTACGCGTGATGTTCCTACTTTTTCCATGTAACACACTATGAACTTTTCGTGGGTGGAGCACTGCGTGTCGTATCGAATTACGTGTCAACTGTTTTCGTAATGCGCTATATCATCTAAAACCTATAAAAACTTGGTTCTTCTCAAACATACGACTATGATTCCATCACTCGCGACAAATACTTTCTCTAAATACTGAATATAAATGTATAGGCTACACTGATACTTTTTACTACGCACATACATTCCCGCCCATAAGTCTCCAGACACTATGCACATTAACACGTTCCGTGCCGGACCGATTTTAGATTACTTTCCGTTCAGGCCGAGTGGGACGTATACGCTTCACGTTGTCGAGATTAGCAGTTTTGCTAACGGAACGTGTTAAAATCAAGAATAAACTGATACTTGCAAAATGGAATTAATACTTGCTAATCGTACATTTAGATTCACACAGTTGCTGATTAATTACGTTTAAGAGTGGCAAGTGTCCAGTGAGAAATGGGCGGGAATGTAAACGGGTGAAAATAACGACTATTTAGCTGATGCTGACATGCGTAGCCAATGAGAAAAATCATAGGGCAAAGAATCGGAGAGCGGTACTAACCTGTTCTAATGAGTTCGCCAGGGTGTTCAGCCTGTGCCTCGCCGACGAGCCTCTCGGTCCACCATAGCTCGCCGACGGCGGCACCCTCGCTCATCTCGCCACCTCCTCCCCCGGCGTCGGCGTCCTCGGCCTGCTGGTACCTGGTGTTCACCCCCTGGAGAGGCGCCAGTGAGGGGCCGCACGGGCCGGCGCCTTCGTGGGATCCAACGGTGGCGTAATTCTCCCCGCAGCCCACAGAACCCACCGGTAGATGCATCCCATCGGCCAGTAGCCGCCCCTCGTCGCCTAAGCACGCACCTTCCGGGCAGGACGTCGTGATTTCACTTGCCTCCTCAATCTGTGCTCCTCCACGGAGCCCGCTCTGATCTCCCTTGCACGCTACCACCAGCTCCTCTTCCACCAACAGCTGTTTTCCAGCTTCTTATCCACGTGACGATTGTCCAGGATACCTACCACGACGTTCATCGTATCTTATTCACTGTACAAGACGTCTTAGGCGTCTTCGAAGTTTCTCCAAGCTCCATGGTCAAACAAACGTACGTGCTATTGGTTTCCCGCCAACGCCATCTCAATCATATACGATATTGATGTATGGTAATACCTCAGTTGAGAAAAATAGTTCCTCCCCTCTATTACACTATTAGTCCGCGAGGTGTCACTGACCGATGCGCCTAGATCGATGTGCGATCTACGTATGATTTACTCTTCAACTAATCACTCGTCGAAGACGTAACACGTTTTACCGCCAATCGCTGCTCCTACAGGTTGTTGGAAACGAAGACTAACGTTGCTTTCGATTTGTCCAACCACGATTCGAACGTACGAACGACAAGTTTGAAGATTTACATCGATCACACTGTTTCCGCGATTCGGGCGAGATACGCCTTGTATGTACGGATCAGAGATACTCTCGCGAATATGATGAATCATCGAAGTGAGGTTGGAAACGAGGCGCGTCCACGCGAACGTCAGTCGCGGTCGACGGTGCGCGACGTAATGCCGGCGGCGCGGCTTCGGCCGCGTGTTCCGCGTAAGCGGCCCGGGACGGCCTAAGCCTTGCAATTCCAAAGCTCCCCACCGTCCTCAGCGTCATCCCGCCGCGTCCCACTACTGTCGAATCGCCCGCCCTCCGATCGTCGTGTATTCGTTTTCTGACCAGTGTCCGCGTTTTCACACATATTTTTACGTTCATTTACACGGGACCCATTGTCAAGAGATTTTGGCCAATGTATTTGCCGAATCCGTTACGTCGTACGACTTCTCGATTCAATGGATGAATTACAGGAATTGATCAACAGGACAGGTAAGAGGTTTAATTGTAACGTTTAAGTTAGTATTCTTAACACGTTCCGTGCCACGTGGGATGTGTACGGCTAAACTTTCTGTTTAGGCCGTTTGGTATTTCCTTTTCCGATAATTTGTTAAAACAAAAATTTTTCCTTTGCTCTATAGTGCTTCTTAAACGTTACCTTTTCCTCGATAACAATGATTTTTGCAATCTTATAAATATTAGAAGACGTATAACGCGACCTGAACGGAAAGTAACCAAAAATCGGTCCGGTACAAAACGTATTAAGGGCAGGGCGTGCAAATTAGGTTAGGCAGCGCCACGTGCGGTGTGAAGTGAATCATTAGACTGTTCGACAGGGCCTTTCGATATTCGACGATTGCGATTCTCGAATCAGTGAAGCGTAAATTGCATCGCGTCTGACATGTGCCCGCGTGCCTTGCGAATATTTTCCAAAAATTGTGGTTTTCTGTGGTAGTTTGAGTGAAAATTTGTGCAAATATCGTGGATCTAGGTGTTAAGATACCGTTGTGTGTATATATTTGGTTAGAAGTTTGAAAAATAGTTAGGTTAGCTTCGAGTAAATGTGAATCACACGGTGGAACGTAGTGAGCCTATATCAGAGTGATTATTTCTACCTTTTTGCGTGTATAGACGAGTCAACGAGACCTGGAGGATAATTTTAGCGAGCTGGCGGAAGAAAAAATGTATCGAAGGCCGATCATACAGCGTGAAAGGTACGTATACAGCATGCCTCGTTTCTATAGCCGGTTTACGGAAAATCCTATGTGTCATAGCCATTTCTGGCCATTTGTAAATTTATTCGCATATTAAACGAACGAGCTAGATTTCACGGTTGATCAGAACCGGGTACTAGTTTCTATTAATGCAATTTTATACGATACGATAGCGTCCAGTAACCTTCGCCAAGACCGTAATGGTCATTAGTCGTTTCTGCGTATAATCATTTGGCTAGTTGTAGCACCGATAAGGAGGAAGCAAGCATCGTCAAAATTCTCTGTGTTATCGTGTTATTTCTCAAGGCGTGCAGTCTTTCGGGACCCGCGATACCGTAATCGTATCACTCTTTAGAAACTGTCTATATTTAAGGAATTGCTATTTGAAGAACCAGGAATTCCAATAATTCCAGTCTACCAACGCGAAGATAATATTACTGCGTAGTAGTCAGATATCTGGCGCCAAAAGTATCGAACCTCTTGACTCCGAAGTATCGAACATATTGGCGCCAAAGTATCAAACATATTGGCGCCAAAGTAATTAACCTATTGGCGCCAAAAGTATCGAATCTTTTGGCGCCAAACTTCCTTTGTCCGCCATCTTTAATTACCCCCACTCCTCTTCTTACATTCTTTCAATTGGGATTTTTTAGGTAAAACATCAACGTTCCAAGATCGAATAGGATCGTTCAAGGCTAAACTGAGTAATAAAAACGGAGTTACGAGACACGTTGATAGTTGCACGGTGGAAAAGGATTAAAAGGCAAGTGAAAGGTCAGCCATAAAGGTTGAAAAGGGTGAGTTTTCCCGGTTGGCAAGAACCAAGTGGCGATCCAATGTTCCAGCAAGGCGTAACAAGTGTCTGTGTGACGTCACGCGGCTTTCTGGAGGCGGAGCTTGTGATTGGGGGAGCAGGTGGGGGTGGGACTCTCCCGCATCGTGGATCGTTCGCCCCACCCTCGGGATTTTGTTCCTTCGTGCCACCGCCACCTTCAACCTCCTCCTTCTCTACCTCACGGCCTCTTTTCCTCTCTTTTGAACTTTGTTCGGAGACCCCCCACCAGTTCTAACTTCGCTCAGGTAGGGAGCTGATAGCCATTGCAAGATGCAATCCAGGTGTAACTCTGTAAAACTGCATCTCTGGTGGGATGTCTTTCCTCGAAACTGGCGCCTCTAGCTATTAATAGGCGTACGAGGCGGTTTGAACGATGATTGGTAGGGTCTAGGATAGGTGAATCGAATTTCCTTTGGGACGCATTCGAGTACCGTTCTTGCTCCAATTTCAGGACCAACGATAGGCCTCACTCTGTGATCAGAGGATACTCATTTTCCAGTAAACTTCCTTCTTGATATATCCCTTTGCAAACTTAGCTTTAAGATCTGTATTCTTAGATAAGATTAAGACATCTTCATCGACGAACCATCTTCTGAAGAATTTCCCTGAATTTCCAGGTACAAGAAGCAAACTATGAGAATACCACGACCAAGGAGAGTTATCTATCGTTGGAAGTCATCCAGGAAGTGTTCAGAATGTCCAGACCCGACGCATCGATACCTTTTCGTCAATGCACATTCATGGAAGCCAGCAAGAATTTTCTCAGAAGGTACACGCACGCGAAAAGAGCGTATAAGGCGCTTTAAAGGTCTTCGCCGGCGTGTTCCCGCAACGCTACCGTTTATTGCACTGTGGTCTGCTAAAGTGCAATCGAGGAAGCAAAATGCGGTTTCACTCGTTCGTGCGGGACTCTCGCAAGAATGTAATTAACCCCTCGGAAGTGCACGGTGCCGTTCGACCTGTGCATGGCAGATTTTACCTGCTCTTCCTTATCTGTCCCGCCGCGGCGGGCATCCCGAGGCGAGAAACGTCACGAGGGACACTTCTCGCCGATCGGTTTTGTCGATTCACACCGATCCACCGCAAAAATCGGGTCTGCGTGTCGTGTCGTGAAACCGCAATTACTTACGCGAAACACGCCGGCCAGATCTATCGCAATTGTCACGTGTGTTTATGGTTGTTCAGCCACGTTGCAATTACCATTGCTTTTTCTACGAATTTGCCAATTTCGTCTCGTCGTCGTTGAGATTTTCTTCAATGGAAACGTTTAATCTTTTTCTGTATGTTAAATTGAGAACTTTGTAATGCGATTATCAATGTTGTTGTACGGTTGAACGAGATCGTACGAGGCTACTTAGATTGGATGCAGTTTTCTTTCTTGATAGATTAAAGGGGATTGTGGGGCATTTTTCGAAGGACCAGGACATTGTAGTCACGGACAGCCGCAGGCTGAGCGAGATAAACAGAAGCATTTCTTTTACGCCTTTTATCGGAATGGCGATATCGCCTGGAAACGAGCCACTTCCAGCGCCACCGGAAGGGCTTCGTAAGACGCTTATCGGTAGCTCGATTCTCAGAAAAAAGTGTCTCGTAGAAAGAACTTCCCCCTGATAGCGTATGGCCTTCGATAATCGACGAATTTTTAATGCGATTAGTCTCTAACCCTCGTTAATCATACTCCACGTCAGAACAATCTACTTTGTACCAGACACGTCTGTTTCCTCGAACTCCAATCTTCTACGTTCGTTAGCAGATACTTTGCGTAGATTATTTTTGTAAGAGCAGAAGAATCTTAGAGAGATGAATATATTTTCGATATATTTTTCAGGGTGGTTTCAAGAGACTTTGGCGAAAATTCTGACAGAACAGGGAGTGACCGTATAACCAGGCGTAAGTTAATCTGCCTTTTGCGCGGAAGCCGAGCTAATGAACTATAAATAAGGGAGGAATACTTACACCGAGTGGACAGCCGCACTTACTGACCCTTCGTAATTAAAATCCCGTCCTAAATCAGGACTAGGGACACGATTAGACGACCTATCTTCCTCTAAAGCCCAAATCCGTGACCCTGAGCTTCTTCAACCCTTCCTCTCTTCTTACCTTCGCATATTCTCCTAAACGTTGAATGTTTCATCAATGTTCAGCTGTACCCGTTATTTTAGTTGTAGAATTCTTGTAACTCGTCGATTCTACGTAGAATTAATTCTAAACGTACGTTTAATAAAGATGAGAATAATTCGTGATTCGAAAATAATTGTGTCACGGTACCAGCAAGTATTTCCATTAAATGAAACAAGCAAAAGTGGCGGGCCTTCGTGACCATGCGGAACAATCCATGCCGTTTCCGTTTCCGTCGATGCAATTCCGCTTCCGTTAATCGAATTGCAAAGCGTGCA